TATATAATATAAAGCTATAAATAACTTTATATTATTATATTATTAATAGTTTATACTATATATAAGTATTATATACATAAAATTTTAAAGTTATAACGTACTTCATAGGCGAGTCGCTCACACACCTGAGTCGCTTACTTTTGCCAAGACCCCACCACACTACTCTTCCTACACTAATGCATTCTTAACAACACTACTTAAACATGTTAAAGGAATGTTAGATGCAGCTTACGCTCTAGGCTTTTAAATAAGACGCAACACTTTCTAACTAACGCGCTACAGCTATCTACAGGGTCTCTTAAAAGATAATAAGCAACTAACGCGCTAGACAACCTTTTTAAGCTAATTGTACAGCTAACTTATAAAAGCTAGACAATAACAAGGAGCAGGTGATTGTTTAGCACATACTTAAGCTAGATGCGTAAGGATTTCCCCCCTAGCTAGCAGCTGTAGCTAATATAGCTAATTCTTTGCGCGCTAAGCGCAATATAGGCTATATTAGCATAAACTAGCCTAATATGTTTATTAAGCGTTACTTAAAGCTTAAAGTAAAGTTTAAGCGCAAGTACAACTATAAGAAAGCTCTTTATAAGGATCCTGTAGTAATTTAAAGCTAGTTTAACTTTATAGAGAATATTAAAGCTAAGTATAGCATCTAGAATAACAACACGTACAACTTTAACAAGACAGGGTTTATAATAGGCTAGATATCTACTAGAGCAGTTGTTACAGGTTTAGAGAGACAAGGACAGCTAAAAGCAGTCTAGCTAGGCAACTAGGAGTAGACAACAGCTATCTAGGGCATTAATGCTAAAAGGTGGGCTATTCTACCCTTTATTATCTTCTAGGGTAGCAACTACCTTTTAAACTAGTATAAAGAGGAAAATCTACTCTAGGATTAAGTTATTGCAATCTTTAAGCGCAGCTAGACTACTAATTAGCTTAGTCTAGACTAGTTAAAGCACTTTAACGCGCATATAAAGAAGCGTACTGTTAGCAGCCACTGTCTGCTAGTTATTAACAGCTATAAAAGCTACAACTTGCTTTATTTCTAGTAATACTGTAAAGATAACAAGATTATTACTATCTATATGCCTTTTTACTTATTACACCTTCTACAGCTACTTAATGTAGGTTGTTTTGCTTCTTTAAAAAAGGTGTATAAGCGCTAAGCTAAAAACCTTATGCATAACTAGATTACCTATATTATAAAAATAGAGTTCCTGCTATGCTTTAAAGCAGCTTATAATGCTGCAATTACTTTTAGTAATATCTAAAGAGGGTTCTAAGGCGCTAAATTAGTTCTTTTTAACCTACAACAAGTTATAATAGGCCTTAATGTAAAGTTACACACTCTATCACTACTACTACCTGTATACAACAAGCCCTAGTAGTTGCAAACCCTAAGTAATACCTTAGAACTTAGGTTGCAATTAATGCTTATAAAGACAAAGATTTAAAAGCATATAAATAGTTTACTAACTTCTATAGTTAAGGCGTTTAAAAAGGTTTTAAAGGGGGCAGCAATAATTGCGCATAAGCTAGTGTTAGTGTAATAGAAAATTACTAAGCTTTAAGCAGCTAATAAGGCTGCCACGCAACATAAATTGCATAAAAGAAAGTAGATTAAGGCAAAAAAGACTTTAATAATTTAGAAAGGCCTGCGCTTAACAGCTCTAAAGGAGTTTAGAGCGCGCAGTGACAGGAAGAAGGCAAAGAAGTAGGTGTGAGCTAAAGTAGGTAAGCTATCCTAAAGGCGCTGCGGACAGTGCAATTAGACTAGGCATAACGCGCGAACGTGTAAGCAAGAAGCAGAAGTAGTATCTAAATAATATTCTAGGCTGTACTGTACTATATAGTGCCAGAGCAGGTTGTTATGGGCCATAATAGAGTTTGTTGGGGTGGGGTCTTGGCAAAAGTGAGCGACTCGGGTGTGTGAGCGACTCGCCCATGAAGTACGTTATAACTAATAATTAATAATATTTATTTAAATATTTATTTTACTTTTACATTTAGCATACTATCTATTATCTATATTTAAAATTTTAGGTATATA